AAAAAAAAGGCAAATTTTCTATCCAGGACCCCTCTGGCCGCATTTATTAAAAGCGGAGAAAATTTCATCCCGCCCGTGCTCAAGTGGCGAATCGCAAACCCGCGGAAAACCACGCAGGCTGCAAAACACACAGGGCGCGGGGATTTGCTGAAGTGCTTTTCTGTAGCAAATGAAGTAAAACAGACGGCAAGGGAAAGGATCAAAGGATTACAACAATATTTGCACAACATGACTGGGAATAATGAAAGGAGAGAGCGGCCGGCGCTTTTAGCGGCTCTTGAATGTAAAATTGGCCACTCGAGTGTTATCTGTCGATAATGATACATCCAGGGAGCGCCGGCCAAAGTGACTCGGAATTAGCGGTGCATGATTCTCGCTAAATCGCCAGGCAATTTCTGGAATCGACTTTTCTTTGTAGAGAGAGAAGGGGAGGGAAAAAAAATTATATATAAAAAAAAAAAAAAAGAAATAAAAATCCACCCCCCTTCGCCTCGCCTGGCGCAAATTACCCAGCTGAGTTCTGCCCCCTCCCGCGCTGCCTCCCCTCCTTTTCGCTTTAATTTCCAGCCTGTGAAATCGTATTAATCTGCGAGATCTGCGGCGCGAGGTGTTCGATAAATTGGGGAGGGGGCGAAGGAGCCCGGAGAGGCGGCGGCGAAGCGGCCGCGGGGTAAAATCCCCACCAAAATCACCAAAAAAACCCCCCAAAAAAGCTCCCCGAGGGTGTTCCAGAGGTGATGTCAAAAAGTTTGTTTGAGAGCGGAGCTCTGGAAATCGAGGCGAGATTTTTTGGGGCAGAAAGGAGAAGTTTTGGGAGCGTTTTGTTGTGCGGGTTTGGATCTGCTCGCGGAATGGTTTCAAACCAAGGTGCGAAATCCCAAATGCGGACAAATTTCCAGGGATGGACACACACGGGGGGTGGATGTCTCGGGGATGGGAGCGCGGCTCGGGGGGGATTTTTATTTTCTCACTTTCCATGGGAAAATCTCACGCGTGGTGCCGGGATAAACAAACACCGGGATAAACAAACAGTGGGAAAAACAAACAGTGGGATAAACACCGGGATAAGCACAGAGCGCAGGACACGGGCGAGACTTTACCCCTTCTTTCAAACCTCCAAACCCCGGGAGAGAAGCGCGATGTGCGGGGAGAGACACGCCGGATTTTTCCCCTCTAATTTAACTTTTCCCCGGTTTTTTTGGGTCGGGTTTTTTCCCTCCTCGTCCCTCGCAGTGTCCACCCCGCTGGGCCAGGGCAGGGTGAACCAGCTCGGAGGGGTTTTCATCAACGGGCGCCCGCTGCCCAACCACATCCGCCACAAGATCGTGGAGATGGCGCACCACGGCATCCGGCCCTGCGTGATCTCCCGGCAGCTCCGCGTCTCCCACGGCTGCGTCTCCAAAATTCTCTGCAGGTACCAGGAGACGGGCTCCATCCGGCCGGGGGCCATCGGCGGCAGCAAGCCCAGGGTGAGTGCGCTGCGGGCACCGCGCCCCAAAATTCCGCCTTGTTTTGGGGAGCAGCGCGAGTTTTCCCAGCGGGTTTTGAAGGGGAGAAACTCAAAATTCCGCCTTGCTTTGGGGAGCAGCGCGAGTTTCCCCGGCGGTTTTTGAAGGGGAGCAACTCAAAATTCCGCGGTGTTTTGGGGAGCAGCGCGAGTTTCCCCAGTGATTTTTGAAGGGGAGAAACTCAAAATTCCGCCGTGTTTTGGGGAGCAGCGCGAGTTTTCCCAGCGGCTTTTGAAGGGGAGAAACCTAAAATTCCGCCTTGTTTTGGGGAGCAGCGCGAGTTTCCCCAGTTGTTTTTGAAGGGGACAAACTCAAAATTCCGCCTTGTTTCGGGGAGCAGCGCGAGTTTCCCCAGTTGTTTTTGAAGGGGAGAAACCCAAAATTTCGCCCTGTTTTGGGGAGCAGCGCGAGTTTCCCCAGTGGTTTTGGGTTTTTTTTTTTAGGGGAGAAAAGGTTTTAATAAAGTTGCGGTTTTTGGTTTCTGGTGGGGGAGAAAGCGAGGCCCGAGCTGGAGGTGGTGATGGATTAAAGTGGTTTTTATTTTGTGGTTTCCACGTGCAACAAGTGGTGCGCGTTGGAGAGATCCCGGCGGGGCGTGGGGAGCAGGGAATCCGGGAATCTTTGGGAATAGGAAATCCCATAAAATCCCCCAAAAGTGTTCCCTGCATCACCTCCCCAGAGCTCAGGGTAATCCCATCCTGCCGGCTCTCCCGGTTCTCGGAGACCCCGATTTTAAGATTTGGGGGAGCAGGGCCTTTTCCCAGCTTTATTTCCCTGCTTTCCCCCGCTTTTAGGATTTGGGGGAGCAGGGCCTTTTTCCAGCTTAATTTCCCTCCTTATCCCTCTTTTAGGATTTGGGGGAACAGGGCTTTTCCCCGCTTTATTTCCCTCTTTCCCTGCTTTTAGGATTCTGGGGAGCAGGGCCTTTTTCCAGCTTAATTTCCCTACTTATCCCGCTTGTAGGATTTAGGGGAGCAGAGTCTTTTCCCAGCTTTATTTCCCTCTTTTTCCCGCTCCCAATCCCCATTTTCCACCCCAAACCCCGCAGCCCGGCCGGGCATGGCTGAGCTGCGCTGCTTCTTTTGAATTAAAAGCGCTTTTCCCCTGCTCTCCCTCCCTCCCTCCATCCCCGCGGGGACACCCCGGCGCCCCTTGGGCACAAAAGCAGGTCGCGACTCCCGACGTGGAGAAGAAAATCGAGGAATACAAGCGGGAGAACCCCGGGATGTTCAGCTGGGAGATCCGCGACCGGCTGCTCAAGGACGGCCACTGCGACCGCAGCACGGTGCCCTCAGGTGAGAAGGCAGCTTGGCCACACTCCCCGGGCTCCGAGGGAATTGTTATCCAGCGGGAAAGGTTTTCCAGAGCATCCAAACACCCTCCAGGCTCTGCTTGGATGGAGCGGGGAAAATCACCCCGAGCAAAGCCCGGGATTGGGGGGGGATTTGTTCTGCAAAACCGACCCCAAACCCAGCGCTTTTCCCAGGTTTTTCCAGGTCCCTGGAAAGCCGAGGGGATGATGGGGCAGGGGAGATCCCCAGAGGAGCCCCCCAAATCCAGGGAAAAGGGGGAGACCCCTAGAGGTGCCCCCCAAATCCAGGGGGAAAGGGGAGCCCCGTTGGTCCCGCTGGGGCCGAGATTACAGGAGACCCAGAGATTCCAGGAGATCCTGAGATCCAGGAGATCCCAAGACAGAGATCCATGAGATCTGTGGGTCCATGAGATCCTGAGATCCAGGAGATGCCAAGACATTTAGAGATCCATGAGATTTAGAGATCCTGGGATATCCATGAGATTTAAAGATCCTGAGGTATCCATGAGATTTAGAGATCCGGGAGATCCCCAGACATCCATTAGATCCATGAACCCAGAGATCCATGTGGACCTGAGATTCCGGGATCCAGGAGGTCCCAAGAGACCCTGAGATGTGTTAGATCCAGGGATCCATGAAATCCTGAGATCCAGGATATCCTAAAAGATCCCGAGATCCACGGGCAGCCATGCTGCACCCCAAAGTTCTGCCTGCAGGGCCGTGTTTGGGGTCTGGGGGCTCTGCTGTGGGGTCCCTGCGGGTTTTGGGGCCAGAGCAGGCCTGGAGCTCCATCCTTTTGGGAACTGGAGGAGGAATTTGGGAATTGTGTGGTGACCTGGGGATGGCCCATCCCGGGACTTTGGGACACCCCAATGCCTCTCGGGTGGCGATGTCAATTTGGGAATGCCCAAATTGGGGAATTCGGGGATTCCGGGGCCTCGGCGATGGTGGCAGGTGCATTCCCACGGGAAGAGCGGAATTCCCGGCCATTCCCACTCCTCGCAGGCAGCTTATACTCGCCTTTCTGCCTTTGACTGTCCGAGGTTTAGTGAGTTCGATTAGCCGCGTGCTCCGCATCAAATTCGGCAAGAAGGAGGAGGACGACGACTGCGACAAGAAGGAGGAGGACGGCGACAAGAAGGCCAAGCACAGCATCGACGGCATCCTGGGCGACA